GCCTTCTGGGTCATTTGTCCACTATCTAAGCAGGCTCGCCAAGAGATGGAGCTAATGAATCAGACGCTGGCAGCCAGAGAAGAGAGCGACGCCAAGGCAGTCACGGTTCTATGCAGGGCATTGTTCCACTGATTTTGGAGCACAACTAGCTTGTATTTATCTTGTTCCCCAGATAGCGAAGCTATGGGGTTCTTACTTCAAATAACAATGAGTTGCCCGTGCGCGCTTTCGAGACAGGTTGCTGGCGCTGGGCGCCGGTGCTGGTGGTGCCGGGTGCCGGGTGGCGGCGCTGGTGCTGGTGCTGTGAGCTGGCTGTGCGCATGGTGGAGACAGGTTGCTGGTGCCGGCGCTGGTGCTGGGTGCCGGGTGCCGGTGCTGGTGCTGGTGCTGTGAGCTGGCTGTGCGTGGTGGAGAGAGGTTGCTGGGCGCCGGGCGCCGGTGCTGCTGCTGCTGGTACTGGTGCTGTGAGCTGGCTGCGCGCGTGGTGGAGACAGGTTGCTGGTGCTGGTGGTGGTGCTGGGTGCTGGGTGCCGGCGCTGGTGCTGGTGCTGCGAGCTGGCTGCGCACGTGGTGGAGACAGGTTGCTGGTGCTGGTGCCGGGTGCTGGTGCTGGCGCTGGGTGACGGGTGCCGGTGGTGCCGGGTGCCGGGTGCTGGTGCTGGCGCTGTGAGCTGGCTGTGCACGTGGTGGAGACAGGTTGCTGGTGCTGGTGCTGGTGCTGTGGTCCTGGGTGCTGGTGCTGTGAGCTGGCTGAGCGCGCGGACGGGCGGCGGCGCTGGTCGGGTGCTGGCGCCGCTGCCGGTGTTGTCAGCTGGCAAAGCGCACCGGCGCTGGTGTCAGCTGATCGCGCGCGCTGTGGAGGTGCCGTAAGCCGGCTGTGCAAGGCTGCGTACATTCTTGTTCCAGCCAGTCGCATGTCAACAGGTCGTGGGATTCTGCCTAGCTATCTGGGTCTATGCTGGTGTAATTTTTGTTGTGTGCGACGTGTCTTCGACCTTTCTGGTCAGTGCATTGATATGCAAGCATACGCAAGCCTTCTGGGTCATTTGTCCACTATCTAAGCAGGCTCGCCAAGAGATTGACGATCTAAAGCAGACGCTGGCAGCCAGAGAAGAGAGCGACGCCAAGGCAGTCACGTTCTATGCAGGGCATTTTTCCACTGTTTTTGGTATCAGGTGTATTCTCCAAATTGATTCATTTCCGGCTTTCGTGATCACAAGCTTCTTGTTCCCTCAAGCAGCAGAGCTGCGCAGCAGCAAAACTAGTTTATTTTTTATCTTGTTTTTGTTGTGTGAGATGTGTCTTCGACCTTTCTGGTCATTGCAATGATATGCAAGCCTTCTGGGTCATTTGTCCACTATCTAAGCAGGCTTGCCAAGAGATTGACGATCTAAAGCAGACGCTGGCAGCCAGAGAAGAGAGCGACGCCAAGGCAGTCACGTTCTATGCAGGGCATTTTTCCACTGTTTTTGGTATCAGGGGTATTTTACCAAATTGATTCATTTCCGGCTTTCGTGGTCACAATCTTCTTGTTCCCTCAAGCAGCAGAGCTGCGCAGCAGCAAAACTAGCTTGTTTTTATCTGGTTTTTGTTGTGTGAGATGTGTCTTCGACCTTTGTGGTCATTGCAATGATATGCAAGCCTTCTTGGTCATTTGTCCACTATCTAAGCAGGCTCGCCAAGAGATTGACGATCTACAGCAGACGCTGGCAGCCAGAGAAGAGAGCGACACCAAGGCAGTCATGGTTCTATGCAGGGCATTGTTCCACTGTTTTTGGTATCAGGTGTATTCTCCAAATTGATTCATTTCCGGCTTTCGTGATCACAAGCTTCTTGTTCCCTCAAGCAGCAGAGCTGCACAGCAGCAAAACTAGTTTGTTTTATCTTGTTTTGTTGTGTGAGATGTGTCTTCGACCTTTCTGGTCATTGCAATGATATGCAAGCCTTCTTGGTCATTTGTCCACTATCTAAGCAGGCTCGCCAAGAGATTGACGATCTGAAGCAGACGTTGGGAGCCAGAGAAGAGAGCGACGCGAAGGCAGTCACGTTCTACGCAGGGCATTGTTCCACTGTTTTTGGTATCAGGTGTATTTAAAGGCTTACGCCTAACAGCCGGGCGCCGGCCCACTTGGGTCTGTGGGGCGTATGTCACACCTATGTTGGCCTTGGTGGGGCCTACATAGTGTGCCCCGCTCGAACTCGAACTCGAACTCGAACTGAAACAGTTATACAGTATTGATGAACTTAACCTTGAAAGGATATATATGGAAGGAACCGAACTCGAACTCGAACTCGAACTCGATCTCGAACTCGATCTCGAACTCGAACTGGAACTGTTAGAAGTCAACCCAGTGGACGAATAGAAAGAGTCGAACTCCAAAATCGCTGTCGTCGATTCGAATTCGAATTCGAACTCGAACTCGAACTGGTCCCCCCCCCGGTGTCAAAATTGTCGTCGATTCGAAATTTGATCTCGAACTCGAACTGCGTTTCCCCTCCTCCGGGCGTCAAAATTGTCGTCGATTGGAATTCGAACTCAAACTCGAACTAGTTCCCCCCCGGAGTGAAAAAATTATCGTCGATTC